AATGATCTTCTCTCGGTCGTTCAGGGCTTCCGCGTCGCCGTGAACGTGATCTTGTGCCGCCTCCTGGGCCTGCGGTTGCGCGCCGAGCGCGGCGTCGCGCGAAGTGCTGCAGCGCGGACAAGTTCGGCTCCAACTCGCGCCCCATGGGCGGCATGTTCGGGGTTGCTGCAGCTCTACTTGGCACCGTGGAGAACCAGCGCCTAGGCGCGCCCCACTTCCGCGGGTTCGTGTCAGAGAGCCAACAACGTTCAACCCCAGCTGCGAGTGCAGCCCGGGGTGCGGGTTTGTCCTTGCCACGAGACTATCGCCCTGGGTTTCATTCATATCGGTTTTCGACAACCTTCATGCGTGGTTGCACATATTTCGTTTGTTGTTTTTCGACGTAGGACGGAACCTTCACCCTTGGTTGCACGTGAAATCTTTCAGGGGATTCACCCGGGGTTGCACATCTAGGTTTCCCCAGGGACCTTCATCGCAGGTTGCGCGCGCATCTGGGGTTGCACGTCTTTCGCCCCCCGATCGCGTGCCTCGCGAACATGTTCCAGCGCGCGCCCTTGACTGAGATCGCGATGAAAATTCGGGGGCCCCCTGGCTTGGCGGACTCGGTGAAGGAGCGGCACCCGTGGGTCCGCAGGGAAGAGCATTGGGCCCCCGAGGAGCACCGGGGAAACCTTCCGTCGTTGGAGTTGGAATTGCGGCAGAATCACCACGCATCGGAGCGCGTAGGTCTGTGTCGGTGGCCCTCTTTTACGGACCATGCCGAGCCGAGGACGAAGTGGGGCGCAGGGTGCGATGCCGTTGCCTGCGACGCCGACGCGGCCAGCTTCAAGCAGGCTTGCGAGGCAGACGCGCAGATGATTGTCTCGAAGGTCCAGCATCACCCACCATCCCAACGGGAAACCGCTCGCACACTGCATCAAGAAAGGCTGCAAGCACGGTGACAAGTGCAAACGCGGCTTCCCGAAGACCATGCTTCCGGCGGCCCTGGGCGGACCGAGGTCTCGTGTCGCGTGCCCTCAGGTGGCCAAGGAAGTCGGGCTTAAAGTGAACGGATCGCGGAATGCGTTGGGCGAGATCGTTGGCCCCTGGAACGGCGATTTTCTTGGGCGGGACTTGTCCAACGTTTGCGGTGACATGTCGGGGCAACGCGCGCGCCGCGCCGAACGTCCGGCTGCCGCTCATCGCAGGCATCACTCACGACCCGACTTGCCTGTGTCGACACCGCGCCAGAGAAGAGACAGGAGAAGCGTACCTTCGACGCATCGCGTTCGCGGCGCAGCGGTCCATGTCGAATTCCTCGCGGTGCACTGGAGGGGTGCACTTCCAGGGTGCAGTGCGTCGGGAGGAAGGCGCGGGAACTTGCGAAGACCTGTCTGTCCACGCTGGCTGAGCGAATCCACGGGGAGTCCGAGATGCAGCAGACGATGAACACTGTTCACCGCTGCATCGGGGATTGGGGGGCCAAGGGCGTGGCGCGGGCGATCTTCGAGGAAGTGAACTTGGCGCTTCGCGGGCAGGCCAAATCCGCTCGCAGCGGAGTGCGTCGCGTCGTGCTCTGTCGCCGACTGCTACGCGGGCTGCTTCCTCCAGATCGTGGCGGACGAGACTCGGGTAGGGCCCGCGACGGCGCGGCGCCAGGAGGTCCGCGCTGTTCGCGGACGCATGCGAGGTGGCCGCGCCGCCGGACGCGACGGCGCGAGCGTACGCCTACCGACCGAATCATGCCGAGTTGAAGACTTCGGGCCCGTGCGAGTTCGTCCGCTTGTACGAGGTGGTACCAACGTGCCCGCCGCCAAGAGTTGCCTCGAAGACATCGACGGGCCCGACGGAGTGGGCGGCGAATTCGCCGCCGGCCGCGGCTGATGGGCCTCCGCGGCGTGGGGTCCACTATGTCGTGAAGCCACCCACGGACGAATGCAGGTATTTTGCGTTCGAAGAGGACCCAGACGACATGGACTTCGCTCACATGTACGTGATTGTTCCACGGGGCGTCCTGGCGCTACCCTTCATCGGGTCCGTCATGCCGCAGCCCGACAAGACGGCCGAGCGCCGCAGCGCCATCCTGTCTGCGTACTTCCTTCCATGGACTCTGGTGTGCGGGTGCGAATTTTCCTGGGGGCTTGTTCCGCTAGCGAAGAATCTGTACTTGCCGCCGAAGTGCCGGCGCTCTGGGAGGAGCGCGCCGAGCTTCCGAGAAGCCCTGAAGCGCGACCTTCGCGGCCGCATCGTCTCGGCTTCCGACCGCGTTCTGTGGGCGAACGTGCTTCGCGCAGTGACGACGATGCCAGAGATCGCCGACGAAGACGAGGGCGACCAGGACTCGAAGCCAGTCGAGGCGCTGCCCGAGGATGCATTCCTGGTTTTCAGCCCCATCAGGATCGTGGCAGAATTGCGGCGAGTGGACCGAGACGCCAGGGCGGATGCCGCTGGCGAGGACATGGCACCTCTCCCACTCGGTGCACAAAGCGCTGGAGCAGAGCATGTGCTTCTGGGGCCCGCCGAACACCGAGCCCGCGTGGCGCGTGCCGCAGCGCCAATCTGCTCTTCGGCATTGCAGTTCGCTGCCAGGGGGTGTTCGCGGGAATGCCTGGGGGCCGCCGCAGAAATCGGCGCGCCCGAAGAAGCGGGACAAGCTGTGCCCTGGCGACGCTGACCTGACAAGCAACATCCAGAGCTGGCGGAGAGGACGGGGGGGGCAATCGGCAGACGTGGGATTACCCAACATATGACATGCACGCAGTTGGGTCGGAGCGCCCGCTCCGTTTCGCTCTGGAAGCAGTTATCGAACATGAAAAGTCCCCGGCATCCGAGCAGGCGTGTCTCCAACCGAGTTCGCGCGGAGCATGTGCGACGTAGCGTCATGCCGTGAGTGGTGAGTCGATCTAAGTATGTGGAAGGGTTGATGATTGGCTTTGTGTGCGCACTGTCGTGGATGTCGCAGCGCCCGCCTGCAGTGCCTCGTTCGCGCCATGCGTTTTCCGTAGAATATGTATGTATGCGTTTACATTCGCATGCGTGTAAACATATGTACACAATGTGCACATGTACACGTCTGAGCGTGTCAAGCAGGTGGCAGGGCACATTTTGTGCGTAGCTGAAATGGTCGTGAAGCAGTTTAAGGTATGTGAGGAGTGTGCAGAGAGGCCTGCCCATGCTTATCCCTGCCCGATCGCAGGACTTCAGGCGCGCCAGATCATTCCCGACCCGCAGCAGATGAGCATCCTGAATGCCGTCGCCGACAGGTGCGTTCAGGAGGCTAGCCAGCAGGACCAGCCGCGCGGATCGCCATGTTCCAGGCTGTTCGTTCTCGGCCTGCCAGGATCAGGGAAGTCGGAGGTCATCCGGTGGCTGTGCGACGAGGAGAGGGGGTTGTTCCCCGTGTGCGCGGGATGGGAGCACGAGGTGCATGTCATGAAGACCGCCCCAATGAATTCCATGGCAAGCAACATCGGGGGTCGGGGGGAAGACTATCCACAACTTCAGCTCGGGATCGATCTCATCACGGGGTCCAGCCCGGCGGGAAGAAAGACCAGGGGCGGTCGGAGAAAATGCTGCGCGCGAAAATCCAGCACATGCGCTGGCTTATCATCGACGAGGTGGAGAACGTGTCGGTGGAGCTGCTGGGCGCCGTGCAGAGGCATGTGAAGGACTCGACGAGGGACATGGGGAACCCGTGGGCCGTGGACGCACGCGCCCCGAAACAGTTCGCCTTGTTCGGCGGGCTGAACCTGGTACTGCTCGGAGACCTGTGGCAGGTCCCGCCCGTGAGGACTCTCGGCATTGCTGCCAATCCTTTCTTGCAGCGGCCATCCGACGTCGGCCGCGCACTCGAGATGTTTTGGACAGGGCTTGCCGCGCTCGGCGACGCACCTGTGCGCCTTGACCCAGTCGCACCGCTGCTCGGACCCGTGGTGGAAGAGCTTCCTCGAAGAAGCGCGCGCGGGGGATCTGTCGGGCAGGATGTGCGATTTCGTCCGCCGACTCCCCACTGACGTGCCCAGCTCATGGATGCCCGCAAGCCCCAGCAGCGCCGGGGCCTCGACGGAGCACCTCGGCTGCAGGAAGGCGAAGTGCCGCGCGCTATGGTCAGTTGAGTGGCCGCGGATGCTCTGAGAGGGCCGGGCCTGGCAGGACATGCGAGCTCTTGAGTGCGCTGACTGCAGCACAGAACGCCGTCGGCGCTGCCGCGTCGCCTCTCAGAGCGATGCCAGACAGCGGGAGGTGAGCGCGGCGTTCGCCGGCGCGCTGTTCGTGTACCCGTACAACGCCCCGAAGAGCAGAATTTTGATTCTGCGAGCGGCGAATGCGGCAGCAAATGCTGGGAAGCAGCTCCTCTGCGTGGTGGCGCGCGACGCCCCCCTCACTCGGGGCGACGCATGCAGGTCGAAGGAGTCGCTCGCCCACGCCAGGCAGAACTAGCTCGTGTACCCAAAGGAAAGGACTGGCGGAGTTCCGGGCGTGCTACCGATCTTCGAAGGGATGCGCGCGCTTTGCGACCGCAGAGAATGCGGAGGCCGGAGCGTGCAAGCATTCTTGGAGGACAGTGGCTGGCTGGGTCCTCAACCCCGACGACTCGAAGCTGGTGAACGAGCAGAGGCCCGAGCCGGAGCTGGTCCTGCAGCACGTGCCCGATGCGATCATGGTGAAAATTCCAAGAAGCATGGCCCCCCGCTGGCGTCTCCCCGGTGAAGCTGAAGGAAGTGTCCTGGGATCGCAGTCCCGGCCTCAAGGCCATGGTGAAGCGCGCAAGGTTCCCGCTCGTCCCGCGCTTCGCCGCCGCGGCCCTCTGCGTCACCGTCTCCACTCTTCCGCGGGCCATCATCGACCTCCTGAACTGGGCGCGCGGACGACGCCCCGTTCGTCCATGGTCCCCATTGGCTACGTAGCCATCAGCCGTGCCAGGGGAGCTGATGACCTGACCATCACCCAGCCTTTTTCGCCAATGCTTTTCCGCCAGGGGCATCAGACGGGCCCGTGGCTTCTGCGCGCCTTCACGGCAGGGGAGATGACGACGGAACAGACGCGAGCTGGCTGGGCTGAGGCAGAGAAGGAAGCCGCGTCCAGGTCGTCGAATAAGTTGGTTGACGTCGCGTTCCAGTGCGCCGATTGCCACCAGCGAAAGAGACCGGGCAATTTTCTAGGAAGTGGCTCGAGAACGGGCGATCCTTCGGAGCACGCCGTGGCGGTGCTGAGCCAGGGCGCGTGGGGGAGGTGCGCCCTCTACGGTCAGAAGGGGGCCTCTGCTTCGGGCGCGCCAGCCGCGGCTGCAACGCCATTCGCCGCGACGGGCAGAGACGTGCTCGTCTGCAATCGCTGCAAGGGGCCCGAGATATTGACGAATTTCCGACGCAGCGAGGTGGATGACTTGAAAAGCAGAGGGGCGGTGGGCCTCGCCGTTTGCGTGGCGCGCGCCCCCGAGAGGCAGCATTTCAACGTTTTGTCGGCGGCCCGCCTCTTCAAACGTCGAATCGGTCAGCGGGGCGAGCCCGCGGAGCAGTTCGATGTTGCTTTTTTCCAGGATGCACAGGGGCGTCGAGGACGCCGCGTTCACGGATTGTCTGGGTGGAAAAAGGAAGCCCCGCTGCGAGGGGGCTGCGGAACAGGGCCTCCGGAGCGCTTGACGTGCAGCGCCAGTTTCTGGTGCGGGCCTTGCAATTTCCCGCCGCGCGCGACATCTGGCTCGGCTCCGCGGTCGAAGACGGCCAAGTACAGAGTCTGGAACATGAAAGAGTGGACCTGCGCTCAGTGCCGGGATCGAAATTTAACATGCGCGCGGTGCTCGGCATTGTTTAGGCGAGAAGCCGTGTGCAGTTCCCAGCGTGACAGGGCAGGCATGCTCTGCCCCGCTTGCTGGCGGGCAGAGTAGGCGCCGCGCAACCGATCCGGACTGGCAATCGCCGCTGTGGAAAACTGCTTTAAAAAACATGTGGAAGATGATCGTTAGATGGCGTGACCTGCTCGGCTGCCGCGCGCGCGTGGCGCTCCGTCCTGCCATCCCTGGGGCTTCTGGGCGGTCTCCTGGGGGGGGGCTCTTGGGGCCTCTGACGTTGCTTCGGGACTTATTGGGGCGTCTTTGGGGCCACTTTGGGGCCTCTCGGGGCTTCCTGTTGACGTCTTGCGCCGTCTTAGGGCGCTCTTGCGCCGTCTGGCCCCTTTCGGAGGCCATCTTGGAGGCCTCTCGCGGCCGCCTTGGGGCTCTTGGGGGCCTCCTGGACCGTCTTGGGGGCCTCTTTGGGCTGTCTTGGGGCCTTCTTGGGCCGTCTTGGGGCCCTCTTGGTGGCTTCTTGAGCCGTCTTGGGATCTTCTTGGAGGCTGCTTGGGCCGTCATGGCTCAATCGTTCAAAAACCAATTGTATATCAATGAATTTTGCCTCTGGAGGCGCTCTTTGGGGTCCTCTTGGGGCCCTCTTGGGCCGTCTTGGGGGCCTCGTGGGCCCTCTTGGGACCATTTTGGGCCGTCTTGGGGCCGTCTTGGGCCGCGTTGGGCCCTCTTGGGGCCATCTGGAGGCTCATTTGGAGTCCCACACAGGCCCACGAAGCCAAATTTGTTGTTTGTTTTAGGTTTGGGACCCCAGAGTGAGGGCCTCCAGATTTGGTACGGCGCTGTGGCGCGGCTCCAGAGGGGGGGTTAGGGGGGAAAATAACAATGTAACGTAACACAATATGCGGCAATTCTGCAATCATTGATACATTGGACACGTTGCATTAAGGCGTTCGCCGAAAAACGCTGCCGCTCAGCACGTCACCTCCGGACGTGGATTCTTGAGCTTGCGCCGCGCCGCCGACCCCTTGGGGGCCTCCTGGTAGGTCTTTCGGGGGCCTCCTGGTCTTTCGGGGGTCATTGTGGAGCCTTTTGGGGCCTCTTTTGGGCTTCTGGTGGGCCTCTTGGAGCCTGTTGGGGGGTTATTGGGGGCCTCTTGGGGCCTCCTGGAGGCTTTTTGGGGCCGAGGGCTCGAAATTTCCGTTCGGGCCCCCCGCCTGGGCCCCCGCCTGGGGCCGTCTTGGGGGTCTCTTGGGCCGCCCTGGGGCCCTCTTGGGCCGTCTTGGAGCCTTCTTGGGGGCTTCCTGGGCCGTCTTGGGGCGATCTTGGAGGCCTCTTGGGCCGTCTTGGACGTTGTGAGAGCCCAAGAGGCGAATGTGCTAATATCATACGCTTCCCGAAGGGAATGGGACGATTTTTGCTTTTGGGGACCCTCTTGGGGCGCCTCTTGGGGGCCTCGGGGGTCGTCTTGGGGGCCTCTTGGGCCGTCTGGGGGCTGTCTTGGGCGTCTTGGAGCGATCCATCGGCGACTCGGGGCCCTCTTGGACCATCTTGTGGGCCTCTTGGGGCCCTCGTGGACCGTCGTGAGGCCCGTGGCGCGTTCACCCGGGGCCTGCCAGACCCCCCCCTCCAAACCGACCGGACCAGGCCCCGGGGAGGGGTTTGGGGAGGGGGAAGCATCTCACATGCCGATGATCCCAAGGGGTCGGCGGATTTTTATTTTTGTGTCGGTTCACTGTGATCCATATTGCGCGATATCGTGTATAGTCAAGCGAGCCGGCAGACTTTTATCATCGGCGCGAGCTTGCTCGATGATGATAGAAGTCGTCCCAGCCAAGCTGATCCCACTGAAGAGTCACGAATCAACCACATGAGATTTCAGAGAGAAGCGAGTGGCTGTCACTGATGCTGAATCGGGCCTTGAGTAATCACGCACATAGTTACTTCTTCGTTGCGTTGATCCACTTGGATCCACGTTGCGCGATGGTGATGCATGTTTGAGCGAGCTTGTAGAATCGCATCATCGGAGCCAGCCCGCTCAATGATGATAGAACTCGTCCCAGCCAAGCTGATCCCATTGAAGAGTCACGAATCAACCACATGAGATTTCCCTGAGGAGCGAATAGCTATCACCGAAGCTGATTCCAGCCATCGGCGATCATGCACTGGACTTCCTTTCGCCCCAGCCAGTAGAAATGTACCATCGGAGCCAGCCCGCTCAATGATGATAGAACTCGTCCTAGCCAAGCTGATCCCACTGAAGAGTCACGATTCAACCACATGAGATTTCAGAGAGGAGCGAGTGGCTGTCACTGAAGCTGAGTCGGGCCTTGATCACTTTCGACCGCAATGGCGCCGCTTTGCCCAGAGATCATGCACATGATCATTTTTGGCCGCAAAGGCGCCTTTTTCCCAGCATTGTTGTATAATCAAGCGAGCCTATAGAATCGCACTAAGAGAACACGCTCGCTCAATGATGATAGAACTCGTCCCAGCCAAGCTGATCCCATTGAAGAGTCGCGAACCAACCACATGAGATTTCAGAGAGGAGCGAGTGGCTGGCACTGTAGCTGACTCGGGCCTTCAGCGTTCATGCACATGATTTTTATTGCGAAGGCTTTACGGCCGGTGCCGCTGACACTGAAGACGACGGAGAAGAAAACGAGCGGGGGGGGTCGGAGGCGGAGGAGGAAGAGGAGGAGGAGGAGTAGGGGGGGAAGAGGAAGGGTGGAGGAGGCGGATGAGGGAGGAGGACGTGGGGGGAAGGATGAGGAGGAGGAGCATGAGGAGGAGGATGAGTGGGGGAGCAGCGAGAGGAATGCGCAGGAGGAGGAGGAAAAGGAGCAGGAGGAGGAGGAAGAGGAGGAAGAAGAGGAAGAAGACACTCCCGCGGTCGCGGGTCACCCCCTCGGGGGCCGATGCGCCCGAGCGCCCGCGGCCGCGGGCACTCAGCGCGGGAGCCAGCGGCGTCGCCAGCTCGGCGCTCGGCGCCTCCTCAGATGAGGAGCACGATGGAGCCGCCGACGAGCTCCGCGTCGGACTTACCGCTTCTTCTTGCCCTTGCCCTTCTTGCAGCCTTCCGCCGCCGCCCCAGCGGCAGCACCGTCCACGAAGGGCTGCGCGTCCTCGAAGGCGACCTCGCACACCGTCGCACGGCGGCCGCTCTCGACCAGGACGCACACGGAGCCGTGCGGGTCGACGCCGTCATTGGGATCGCCGTACACCGACCCTTGGCGCCCATCTCGAAGACGAACCCGGTCGCCTTCCCGCAGGATGTGCGGGGTGCGCCTCGGGGGCACCTCATCTGCCCACACGTCGTCGTCGACGTCGGAGGGGAGCTTCATGTCCTCCTGGACCACCGCCTCCGCCGCCGCCGCCGCCGCCGCACCCACCACGCCGCCGTCGGCGGGGGCCCCCACACCCACCGCCGCCGTCGCCGCCGCACCGCCACCAGGGGGCTTCTCCTCCACGACGTCCTGCAGCTGGAAGCGCGAGTCCACCTCCATCCGTCCTCCGCGGCCGCGCGGGCGACGGCGCCGAGGCGGCACCGCCTGGGGACCCGCGCCGACCTCGGCGGGAGGGGTGGGCTGCCCGACCAGCTCGGCCACAGCCGTGCGGACGAGCCCCTCCGCCGCACGCAGGAGGCGTGCCGAGTCACGCATCCCTCCTGCGGCGGCCAAGCCCGCTGCCGCGTGGACCGCCAGCAGGGCCCCACGCGAGGCCTCCAGTGGCGCCGCGGCGCGTGCCGCCTTGGTCGAACCCGGCATCGGAGGCGAGGCGGGAGGCGCGGCGCGGCGCGGCGCAGCCCGGCGGCAAGGCGACCTGATCCAGTACGGTTCTTGAGCCAAAATGGCTACGGAGGAGGAGGAGGAGGAGAAGGAGGAGGAGGAGGAGGAGGAGAAGGAGAAGGAGGAGGAGGAGGAGGAGTGGGGGAGCAGCGAGAGAAAGCGAGTAGGAGCAACCAATTCTGGAGGCCTCGGCTCTGGACGGAAATGGAAGGGAGAGGGCGGGGACAAAACCTTTCCGAAAATCAATGAATATGGCCTCTCCGGGCCTTCTTGAGAGTCCTTGTGGGGCTCTTTTGATCTGTCTGAGGGCCTCTCCTTTGGCCGTCCTTAGGCGTTCTTGGGCTGTCTTGTGGGGCTTGGGCTGTCTAGGGGCGCTCTTGCAGATCTGTCGTGGCGACCTTCCTGTTCCAGCGCATCTACAGAGGGCCGCTCTGTAAAAGCCGCAAACGGA